TATTGCAGTATGGGTACGATAGTGTGGTCTGACCATAGCCCAGTGATGTTGGAACTTCAAGATTTGCTCTAATTTTGTGGTCAGGAAACTCAGTGAAATACTTCTCCTGCATTCTTAATTTAGTGACTCCTTTCAGCTCACTTTGACTGAGTATTTTTCTCTTAATGAGGCGGGTGACATCAATGAGGCAACTATGTGGTTGGCACACAAGTTGGTTGCAAGAAATAAACTTATTCAAGGAGCAATATATCTCAAATGGCTTCTCCTCCCCTGAGTTAGCAAATGAGCTGGAGAAACTACACAAACATATGCTGACTCTGCATGTAATAATTAGTTGTTACTGCATTCAAAGATTAAAAGCACAAATGTGTCATACTAGTGGTAAAGCATATAAAATATTAGTTCAGAGCTAGACAGGTCCATTCTCACAAAGTAGCCATTGAAGATCAAGATGGGAAGCCCCAAGCTATAGTCTCAGCCTTTTCTAAATGTTATGCTCCATTAAATAACTTAAAAAGGGACCTGGAAGCATCCCAGCCCACTGCCCAGGGTATTTCCAGAAATCTAGATTATTTAGTGCTACCACAACTAAACTCACAACAAACTGAGGACCTGACACACCTTTTCTCCTTAGAAGAATTGCTGCACATAATTTACTATTTATCCTTAGGAAAATGACCTGGACCAGATAGTTTATCAGCATTATGTGATAAAATAAATATTCCATGATCCTAGCTCCATACCTACTTAAGATATTCCAGAAAGAGGGAGTACTAGATAAAACCATGCAAATACACCAAGACTTCCCTCATTAGTATTTGCTGCTGAAATTGTTGATTAAAGAATTAAAAAGACAAGGGTGATGGAATTAAAAAGACAAGGGTAATGGGGAACTCACCCTTCACCTAGACTAACTTCTATTGTACAAACATGTGTCTCACTCAAGTATCACTCCTGATGGAACAGCATCCTAAAGGCACCATATATATAGATAGTATATGGTGCCTTTAGGATTACATAAAACTATCCCACTGTGTCAGTGTGTTGGCGATGTCGTCAAGCAGAGAGGTTCATGATTCATTAATGGTGAAATTGGAGTAATTAAATCAGCGGATATGTAGAATGTTAAAATGGGGATTATGGCTTACAGAGGTCTGATACACAGATTCCATGTTATTATTAATGATCTTTTATACTGGGAACTTGTATTTGATGTATGTAATGTTGATGATGTTCCTTTGGGTGTTTTCTGCATTTGTAATGTACCCGTGTGTGGTCATACTCTTCTTAATCTCCTCCCCCTACCTTATTTCTTTATGTATCCTTCTCCCTTATGAAACATCAATAATGTTCAGTTGTCAAAAAAAAAGATTGTCAATGTACACTTCAAATAGTTTGACAGCAGGATACCGAACAGATTTTATGAAAGCATTAACATCTAACTTTTTGGAGGGTATAATTTCACTTGAATGCTTGGAAAATAAGCAAATATAGAACATTCTTGTCCTTATTTTGATTAAACATTATACGTCCATTACTAATTTTAACTATTGCATTATGCAGTCTTTAAAGTTGCTTAATAGGAAATGGCAAGCTTTCAAAAAGAACCGAAAAATAATTTCAGATTAGTTTAAGATTGACATACAAATCATGAACACAAAATAGTGTGATAACCCTAAAACATTGATTGGCTTTATTTATTTTTTTAAGTAATCACATTCATACTGTGAAAATTACAATGTATAACACAGATTTAACACTTACCAAGCAACAATGTGACATCAAAGGGACACTCTACTTGAAAAATAATTTTCCTAAGGATGTCACAACTAATGTGTTACTTACATAGGCTGTTCTTTCCGATTACTAATTACAATCACTCATGATAAATGTATTGTACTAAGATTTGTGGTCTGACATTGGATTGCCATCATCATAACAAGGATGAATACAGTTCCACATTTTGAAGATAAATGGTTTTAAAAATAGCACAAATCTGTAATTATACTAATTTAGTGATTCTAGACAAATTTATCTTGAAATAAGAATCTTTCAGTATAATAAGTCAAGAAATTGATTGTTTGATGTTGAATTAGATAGATATTTTGCGAGTCTTGAAAACGTTCTATTGCTGTCATACTACATTTCTCGTTAACCTAAGCTAAACAAAACTAGGAGATATTTCTGTTTTAAAATAAAATTTTAAATTAATTTCATTTGTATAAAATCCAATATTAGCTAAGTTATTTAGTACCTGGAAACTGATGAGAAATGAGGGAGCTGAAAATGTCAACCATATAGTCAAGTTGGCACATGTTTCCAGTTTGTCAATTTTTGATAGAAATTTCAATTAATTTCTCAGTTGTCCACAAGTTTCAGTTTACTAAATAAGTCCATTACTTTTTATTGATTAATAACCTGTCCATCACATATTTCTAAATAGTTTCATAGTGCAGATGTATGATTGTGCCATGTGAAAGCCAAAGGCACTCTATTAAAAAAGGTATGTATTTATGAGTGTTCAGCTTTTAACTAGTAGGAGGATGGCAATGACACATTGGACGTTGTTATTACCCATGAAAAGTAATGGGATAGGATAATTTAATTCTCATATTCTTTGTTTTTGTTTTAATGCATTAACTTGGCTCTCCCTAAGTTCAAAGGGTAATCCAGATATGGACCCCTTGCTCACTGTGCTCATTGTGCCTGGAGGTATATCAGCTACACCTCACTGACGAGGCCCAAAGAAGACCGAATCGATCACCTGGGGTTGCAGTATCTCTTATGCAGAGGGAACTTGCTGTCATTTCGGTTCTGAACTGCCCTTATGGGTGGGACCAGTCTGATATGTTTCAGATATGTTCTCTCTGTAATGGCACAAGTGAGCAAAAATTATTTTGAGACCGAAGCTATTTGGTCTGGGAGGTCATGTGTGTGGCCATCGGTGGTTGTAATTTTAGTTATGCGCATTTGTTGTGTCTTTTGGCGTAGCCTATTCGCTAGGAAAGTTTGTGTTATTGGACTTCTCATAGAACAATTGCCTCGCCCATTGAAATGCCTTTTTGGAGTCTTGAGCCATGAATGTTTGAATAACCTGCCCATGTGTTTGGAGTTTGTCTGTCAGGTCTGCTGTGGGGTTGAGTTTGTGTTGTGGCTCTAGCTTTCTGAGTTCCAGTTGTGTGAGCTTTTGTTTTTTGTGGGCAGAAGCTGCTGAGATTAGACTGCCTCTGATCACAGCTTTGTGTGCCATCCATAAAGTGCTAGTGTGGGGCACTGAGTCTTTATTGGTGGTAAAATAGTCAGTCACGTCTTTGCAGCTTGATTCTCTAATACATGGGATGTGAAGGAGGGTTGGGTTGAATCTCCAAGTCCATGATTTTGTTTTGTGCAGGATTTTATTGGTGAGTAGGATGTCTGCAGTGTCCGACCATGTTATTGGGCTTATTGCGGTCGAGTCAACCTGCGGTAGCAGGGAGGGGGAGCTCAGGAACATGTCTATACATGAGTAGGAGGAATGTGGGTGGGAGAAGATGGTAAAGTCTAGTGTTGTAGGGTGTTGTAGCCTCCAGGTGTTTAATAAGTTGATGTTTGTCGCAAATAATTGTAGCAATCTGTCAGATCTGGCTATGGGTTGGGTCTCCGTCAAGGATGATGGTACTCTTTTCCAGTCTACTGCTGGGGACAGCACTGCATTGAAGTCCCCACCCACTACCAGGTGGTGGGAGGGGAAGAGGCTCAGCTGTGCGCTTAGTGCTTTCCAGAATTGTGCAATCGGGACCATGGGAGCATAGATGGTTGAGAAGGTGTATTTTTAGTGCCCACCTGTCCCGTTATGGTAAGGAATCTGCCCTGTGGGTATGCTATAGTGTTGGTGAGGTGTATGAGGCAGGATGAGCGGACCAGTATCGCTACCCCATTTCATTTTCCTTGAGGGGAGTTGGCCCTATAGTATCTACTCTGGAGAGGGAAGGCCCTTGTGAAGGAGGAGCACATCTGCTTTGGATCTATTAGCCCATCGGAGGAGCCGGTGTCTGTTTGCCAGGTTATTTAAACCCTTGCAATTTATTGAGATGCAGGTTAGTATGGAGGGCATTGTGTGGTTGGTGTGCCTTGCCTCGGGTCCAGTGAAGTGGAAGGAGGGGGATTGGAAGGGGAGTGGGAAACGGCAGGGGCCAAAAGCTAAAATGGAGAGAAGAGAGGGGAGAGAGGTAGGGGGGGTGGAGAGAGGTGGAGGGGTAGGGATGTCGGGCGTGTAGTGATGACTTATCAGGGTGAGCTTGGTCTTATGTGGTAAATGCCAAGCTGAGTGGGCATGGGGGATGTGTGGTGGGAGGTGAGGTGAGTCCTTCCAAGTACAGCATTGTGTGTATGTGGTGTGTAAGGGAGAAGAGGCGAAGAAGAGGACTTTCCACATCCACGTCTCCCTCCCTTCCCCTCATTCCCATTTTGAGGTAGTAGATACAGTGTGCTGCATGCAAGAATCATATAACAGTAAAATAAATTCCTCATTAATTTGTGGCCTTGATGTTTCCCGTTACCCCCTAGTATACAGAACATTTTAAGGAACGTGAGTAAGAGGAGGGGTAATAAAAAAAAATAGTTTGGACAATATATATAGGGAGATCAATAGAAACCTGTGCCTCTAAGCCTCTGCCTGAGTGGGTGCCATGTTTAGTGCGGCACAGCTTCCCTGTCACAGAGTGTCGATGGAGCTCTCTTCCTTGGTGTGCAGCAGGGGGGTCCCTGTTGTTCTCTGCTGGGAATCTGGACCTTGATCCAGGTCCTGGTGGCAGGATTCATGTTGGTGGCAGCAGTGTGAGTCCAACTGAGTCTGCGAATGGGGACATTTACGCCACATTGGTCAAGATGTAAGTTTGGTCATCTTTGCAGACCACTAGCCTAAATGGATGTCCCCACATGTATTTTAGGCAGTGGTGGTTTAGGGTTAGCATCACTTGCTTTAAGTCTCTTTGTTTTTTCAGGGATGTGGGTGACAGATCTTAGTAGAAGGACAGTCTATTGTCTTGGAATTGTGACTGGTGCAGCCATGCCTCATGGAGTAGCCGCTCCTTGGTCCAGAAGTGATGGATGTGGACTATGACATCTTGTGAGTGTGCTGGATTTAGAGCCAGAGGTTGGAGGGCTCTGTGGGCCCTATACATCGCCAGTTCCCAGTTGAAGGCGTCTGGCAGGAGGGTATTTAACAGGTCTTTAAATTCAGCCTGCACACTTTCTGTGGAGACCGACACAGGCAGGCCTCTGATGCAGATATAGTTCTGCCTGGAGCGGTTGTTGAGGTCTTCTATGCACTCCTCCAGGTCCCGTTTGGTAAGGGGGACATCTGCAGCTGCAGGCGGCTCACTGTCTTTGGAGTCCATACCAGTGCCTGCCATATCTTGGGAACAAGATGGCCACCGTGGTTTAATCTGAGTGCAGAATAGTGAGGCGACTGAAGGGTATGTTCTCGCTTTTTATTCCCCCTGCTCATGGCCGTATGATTATGCTTGTCGGTAATGGAGCTGGTAGGTATAGATTTGTGGCTAAAGAGCGCCTCTAGGAGTGGATAGATGCGGATTTAACTTGCGGGGGAGAGCGAGGTGCTCAGAGGTCAGGCTCCACCCCTCTCATATTCTTTAATTTAATTCACTACTGTTTGATGTTGAATGGATAAACCCGTAAGAGTTAAATTCCAGTTTTCAGTGAAATTGTTAATAGTATGCAAACTTGCTTATATAACCTAGTCAAATCTATATCTTTAAACCTTGTGAAAACAAGTGCCATTTTATCCTTTTGCACTTCACTGAACTTTCTTATCTAATTGCTTAGCTGATCGATAAAAACATTAAGTTAAAAATGTGTTTTACGCATCCTTTGTGAAGGGTTTTATTTTTGAGTTTTCTATAAACATTTCTTTAAAATACATTGAGAATTTTTGTTCATTAATTAACTTGTCAGACAACTTCGGTGTATAGACATCACAATGTTTTGCATTTTCATGCATGAAAGTGTAAATTAATTTAACGGTTTGTAAGAACAAGCCAACAGAATGTATTCAATTACTAAACGGTCTGGATTAGCTAACATGCATTGCACTGAAATTGCAAAGTTTTGGTAAGAAACAAATGCTTTGCAGAAAATATTTAGATTGGTATTTAGTGTGCATAAATAATCCCCTTACAGAACAATTCATAAACATAACAAAATAAATGCAAGATGTTTAAGTACACTAAAGTGGAACAATTGTCCTGAATCTAGACTTAAATTACTGCTGAACAGGTTTATCTTACTTCTTTCATAACATTGCATGCGGAGTGCAAATATGTTAATTAAAAAGTAACAATAAGCATTCCAATGTTGATGTAATGCATTTGCAAGAGGGGTAAAATATATTTCTGACAGGTACATACTTATTGGATTATTTAAAACTGTTTGAAGCTTCCTAATGTTAACGGGATTAGCAGTCGTAACCACTTCATTTTCATGGTTTTTTTTATTTTACATTTAGGCTGGCATGTTTTATACAAGGAATTTGTTTTGGACAACACAGAACGTTCTAACTTTTCACATTATATTCATATATGCTTAAACATATTAAGATATTTTAAATGTATAGGTATTTTTCAATAAATTGCTCAGTCTTTTACAGAAATAATAGGGAGCGTCATTTTGGCATTTGTTCCTATTATTGTTCATTGAAACTCCTGATTCTTACCCCTAAGACACAACCAATGTGGCAAAAGAAAAAAGATCACTTCCTATCCCCCCAAAGCATGTCATTAAAAAAATTCTGTTAGTCCAGAATTGTATCTGTTTTTTTATATCCAGATAGATTTTTACTTGCTCTTTTTATGATTTTGTTCCACGAAATCAATTTCTTTATCATTTATGGATTAATGTAAAATGGAATCATTTTGAACATTTTCAGTTTTGAAGTTACCAACACTTAAAAAAAGCCTGCTAATGCTACCCCCTATAGTTCATGACTCAGCCCAGTAATTAGGCTATTACATTTGCCAACCACTGCAGTTTGTCCTGATTGTTCTCTCTCATTATGAAAACAATTATACAGAACATCAGTATTGATATTAGATGAGTTGATATAGCGTATTCTGGCTGGCCAAACACAATAGTGAAGATTGTCCTACAAGGATTCACAGTATGGTTCTTTGCTGGGCATGTGAACTTAAGATTGAAAAGTAATTATCACTAACACTGACCTCATTGCCAATCTCTGTGTCATACACATGAATGAAACTCAATGAAATCTAAAGTTCATCTTTAAAGATAATTTTTTCTCAATTTCTTGAAGAAAATAAAAAAGTACTATGTAACACATAGGAAATATATAATGCTTTGCTGTCAATGGTAACATTATTAATCATTTTTTTTATAATAGCATGCTTCTTTGTTTACTCTTTATAAAGACTTGGAAGAAACACATTCAATACAGTTGTTTAAATAGTTTACCTCCTTAGCTTACAGAGTTATTTTACATAGAAAAAGCAGAATGTAACATTTATATGAAAAACATAAACATGTAAATTATATACTAAGAAAGACAGCATGTACAATGACAGCATGACAGCCGTGTGTCAGAATTGCTCATTGATTATGCAGTACATATTTTGACATTGTAAGAAATGTGTGATAAAAAACTAGGGCTTTAAGTTGTTGTTGTTGTACATGTTTCTTCTCAAAGTTTTGCAAGAAAAACCTTGCATGTTTTCGGGCTGATTTGATACAATTAAATCTATGGCATATTGACACCCACACTATTTATGTTCAAAAATATCACTTGAGTCAATTATTCTCATATTTTATTGAAGCCTTATTGTGGTTATCCCAAGTTCTGATATTGTGTACCAAAAACTATGAAAGGGATGAAAGCAACTGAAGTTATTGACATATGTAATCAGGTTGTGTGATCAATTGCCAATGCCATGTCTGCAAATGTGGAAAGCAGAAGTTGTTTGTGGTACGTAATTTGAATTCCATGGCATACAATTTATAGAAATTGCTTTCTGTGGCAGTGTACCCTCTCAAGGATAAATTACTACCACCTGTGGTTGCTCCTTCCTCGTTGTGCCCAGCCCCAGCGTGATTATAGCTGCTAGCCAGTGATTATAGTCACATGCAAAAGGGCAATCGTGGTATCACCCAAACACTAGTCGAGACTTAGTGAGGGGTGACAAAGAACTGTTTATTGTAGGCAAGATACACAGTATTTATGCACAGAACCCCACAAGGGTCTCCATTTACAGCAATACAAAACATAAGCCCACACCGGGGTTGCTGTGTCTGGGAGATAATGGTATCTCCCGGACACAGGAAGCTAAACACACAAAAGACAACAAAATACACATCATACAGTAATGCACCCCCACATGCCATACTTTCCCAAATAGCTGCTGGTCCCAGCTATGATCCCTGCAAATTGCAGAGCTATCGGATGTACAGAGCCCGAGAAATTGTCATAAAAAATCTGGGCTTGAGTCTCTGTACATACCCGAAAAGAGTTCCAGATAATCACTTGGTTTAAGCCAGTAGATTCAATTTCACACCTAAACCACGTGGTGGCCAATCAGGAAAAAAGGGCACGACCCAATTTGCACCAATCGGAGCTCAGGGAGGGGGAGGTGTTTCGCCGGCCAATCGGGAGAAAGGGCGCAAAACTAGTTTGAATGGGAGCCCTTCTCCTATTGGCCCGGCATGGACTTACAGGCAGCCAGTGGGACTCTGTGGTTTGTGAAGCCGACTCACAGTTCCAGAGGATCGGCCAGGGCTTGCGTCTCTCTCCGGAGGATATCTCCGCTAATGTAGCACCAGAGAGAGTGCACTCTGGGTAGCTATTAGCCTGGACTCATAGCTCCCGGATGGGTAAGCAAGGGGCTGGAACAAAGGGGTGTAACGGGGAAAATTACAGTCTTTTGGAGACACATCTAGACAGGGATGGCACGCAGTGACAGCGTTCCATCACACTTTCCAATAGCTATTGTAAATCAGAACCCAAAATATAGGCATGTAGTATGAAGGATTCACATTTTAAAGGGGGGCAACCTTAGAAAATTATCTTCTTCCCAAATATATATCCAAATATTTGCTAAGGGATGGTTGTTCCACTTTTTGGAGGTTTGTTTGTTGTCTAATCTGTAGACAGTTCTCTATCTTGCGGCAGGAGATTGTATTTTTGAAGTCTGAGATTTGTAAATTATCTGGTAAACAAACTCAGGCTGGAACTGCTGCAAAGCCACTGTCGCAGAGACAAACTAGGAATGGCAGATGGATTACTGTAGGATCTGGTAGACTTAGAGTTGTGGATAAAAGGCATATTGCACAGTCTGTTGCTCTACATAATTCATTTTATGCACTTTCAGAGTGTAATGGTGTTATGGAGACAGGCACTGAGGTTAGTGGTGTTGTGGAGACAGGCTCAGACACTGAGGCTAGTGGTGTTGTGGAGACAGGCTCAGGCACTGAGGCTAGTGGTGTTATGGAGACAGGCTCAGGTACTGAGGGTAGTGGTGTTGTGGAGACAGGCTTGGAGACTATGGTGAGGCCTTATAGAAAGCAGTTGTTGTTGGGGCATTCCATCATAAGAGGTGTGGAGATGGACAATGGTGGTCTTGTGAGGTGTCTTCCCGGAGCTACTGCTCACAGAGACAGGAGACGTATCTGTAATATTGTTAAGCGAGCAAAGCAGGAAAGGGAATTGGATGTACTTGTCCATCTAGGGAAAAATGACTTGGCTTGCAATGAGGTTTCAGAGGTTAAGGAAGTTTTTAGTGTTTTTGCCAATGATATATGGCAGGTTGCTTCCACACTGTCATTCTCTGAAGTTCTGCCAGTGCATAGCACTCAGAATGACAGGCGGATGCGTATTAGGGACTTTAACTTGTGGCTTGGTGAATGGTGTTAGGAGCAAGGATTTGGCTTTATTTCTCATGGTAGCTCTGTTTGGAATGGAAATAAACTGTACAAAAAAGATGGTTTGCATCTTTCTCAAAAGGGAACAAATGTCCTCAGTGAGCAGTTCAGAGGTTTTGATAGGATGTATTTAAACTAGGGGGAGGGGGGAAAGGGTGATAAAACATCAATCCAATTGTCCCCCAAAACAAGGACAGAAGGTGCCTGTTGCAAGTGTGTTAAAAAATGATAAGCTTAGAGTCATGTCTACAAATGCTCGCAGTTTAGGTAATAAGATCCATGAACTTGTGGCAATAATGGCAACTGATAGTGTAGATTTAGTCGCTGTTACTGAGACATGGTATAATGAGAAAAATGACTGGGATATAGCAGTACCAGGGTACTCTTTATATAGAAAAGACAGGGAAGGAAAGAAAGGGGGAGGGGTGGTCCTGTATGTGAAGGATAGGATAAAATCTAGCGTAATAAA